TGAGTGTGTGTGTGTGTGTGTGTGTGTGTTCAGTTCATAGTGTGTGTGTGTGTGTGTGTGTGTGTGTGTGTGTGTGTGTGTGTGAGAGTGGATGTGTTGGTTTTGCACTCTTGATGTTTTAGAGTTTCTCCCCATCATTGCTGTTTCTGCATTGTGGCAGATTTGTAGATTGTACACATAAAAATAATGGGAATCATGCCCTCAATTTTTTTGTGTGTTCACATTCCAAATGCCATAAAAGTCACCAAGTTTCCTACCATTCTGATGACGCTGTGATATTAAAAAATTCAAAACAGAAAATCTTTCGGTCAAAAGTGACCAAAGAGCACCATCCTCACATAACAGAACACAAACCAGCCTTCCTTTTTCTTGTCTTTCTCAAAAACACATAAAATAACACTTAATGTCAATATTTACTCTCCCAATCCAATCACACGCAAAGCATGCTAGGAACTAGAAATCAAGTTCCCTGTTAAATGCAACCAAAAATTTTAACACAATTGGAATAGGAAAACTTTCATTATACAGTGAAAACAATACAAGCTAGGCTAATTTTAATCCAGTAAAATAAAAAATATTTTTCTGGGGGTGTAGTTGCATCATACCAGCAGGGTAACCAAACCTTCAGTCCTTGAAGGTCTCACATTATAATGACTCTGGAAAAGGTGATCATGTCCCACTTTATGACGGAGGGTTCTGTTTTGTAACAATGGAACTACAGTTTTCATATCTGACACTCGCACTATGAGTTACAAGTTATTTATCTTTTTAACCGTTTTTGGAACAAAAAAAAAACAATACTGGATGGATTTTCCACAACATTAAATTTCTTCATCATTGATATGATACAAACCAACAGCTGTTATAAATCAGCTGTAAATCCCAATTGCTTGGGAAATAAATCTACCGTGTGCTATAAAACTATCAATGGCAACAGCATACAATTATGTTCATTAGCATGATAAAGTCCAAACTGGGACTATTTCCTTGTCCAGTATCCTCAACAGCATACAGGCCTCCGCTGCTGCTGAATACTAGTAGAGCTCCACATACTGGGCCACAAACACAAACTCTTTGTGTGCAGGACTCTACAACACACTTTATCAATCAGTAGTGGAAGCAGCAATCTTCTATGCGGTTGTGTGCTGGAAGCAGCATCAAGACAAGAGCTGCCAAAACACTCTACAGCCTAATCAAGATGCCTGGCTTGGTCTTGGTGCTAAGAGAGGTGCTGTCTGAGGGGTGGACGTTGCCCAAACTCTCAGCCGTCATTAAGGATGCTTAGCATTTAGTCCATAAAACTGTTACTGCTCAGTAGAAAACGTCCATGGTGTTCTAAAGTGTACTGTAGCGTACTTCCTTCTTTGCTGATATCCGGACATATTTACGGATCTGAGAATTGCGTCAGGCAATGAATCTGTATTCTATTAGTGTACAGAAGAGATTGCTGAAGCAAATTTACAATCTATCAGTGACGAAGATTATATTCAACAAGAGAAAAACCATCATATGGTCACTGTCAGAGTTATATACATGATATTTCTACTATGTAAAAGCCAGGTTACAAAATATAAATACATTTTCTAATATAAAAAAACTGAGGTTGAGTTTGTTGCAGCTCCATTAGTTTAGCAAAAAAACTGCTGAGTTCATTACTGAAATTAGCTGAATAGCCTTTCATTTAGATGTTATCTGGCAACAAAAAACATGCTTAGACCAGGCATTTTCCAACCAAACAAGCCTCTCCATTTCACATCCCCTCCCTCTCGCTCTTGTTCTCCTGGTGAGCACCAGCATGACTGATGTTCTCATAACCACACTTTCCAGTCTGCCTGACCACCAGAGGGGCATTAGGTCCGTGAAAAAGGCTGCCTCAAGTTCCAGGAAAAGCTAAAGGGAAATCCTACTCCTCTCAGATTCCACACTTGGAGAGGTGACAAACCTTTTCCAGCTTTAAACCTCAAGAAATTTGCTGGTTAAAATCCACATGACTCCATTAGTGTGCACAAAATAATATTTAAAGGTATGAAATGTACACATCAGTCTTAGCCTGTTGAGTACAAAGTACTCAACCTAGCAACAGTTTTGTTTGAAGAATGCAACAAAACCAAGATTTGAAGTACCGGTAATAGTTCCTCCAACAACAAAAATGGCCATCATTTGCTCACTGGTATGTTGCCTTTTTTCCAAAAAAAAAAAAAGCACCACAGATTCAGTCCAATTGACTTGAGGAATATACACAAAGATTTGGGGTATGTAAGAAATTAATGCTTTTATTCAGCAAGGGATGCATTCAATTGATTAAAAGTGACAGTAAAGACATTATAATGTTACAAAAGAAATTGATTTCAAATAGCTGCTGAAAAACTGGTTTCCAAGTTTTCCACAAAATATATTAAGCAGAAATGTTTCAACATTGTTACTTGATTGCCAAATCAGAACATTAGAATGATTTCTGAAGGATCATGTGACACTGAAGACTAAAATACTGATGCTGAAAATTCAGCTTTGCCATTACAGGAGCAAATTAAAGGGATCATATGATGCTGCTAAAAATAACATTATTTTGTGTATTTGGTGTAATGAAATGTGTGTAGGCGGTTTAAGGTTAAAAAAACACATTATTTTCCACATACTGTACATTATTGTTTCTCCTCTATGCCCCGCCTTTCTGAAACACGTAGATTTTTACAAAGCTCATCGGTCTGAAAAGCGAGGTGTGCTGTGATTGGCCAGCTATCCAGTGCGTTGTGATTGGCCGAATACCTCAAGCGTGTGACGGAAATGTTATGCCCCTACCATACTGTGATGCCCTGTCAGGCCGGAGCGACGAGACAAAAACATTAAAACCCATTATAAATGAGGCATTTGTTGCATCCAGTGGGTACATAATTATGGATTATAATTACTTATACCGTCTTTTTACGAGTTGCATCACGCCGTGTAAACATAAAATCATGTCTGCATTTGTGATCGGAGAAATGACAAACTACAAGTGCTACTCTACACTGCCCAAAACTCGCATTTGAATCATGAGTGGCAAATTCTTTAAATATAAAAAACTTAAAAACTTACAGTCTGTGAGTCAGAACAGCCGGCATTTTAGTCTACTCTGCCAGGATCAGGAAAAAGTCCTCCATATAATGTGCTGGACACATCTGAATATTTGGGTTGAAGTGTTCTGGAACAGTGTTGTAAATACAACTTAACCACTGATTTCTAGTCGTGTCCTCTTTTGGAAGGCCAAACAAAGTAGTTTCGCTTTCACAACGAAACAGCGTCACACACCGCGGCCTTGAGTGAGCGGTGGCCGGAGGCCGGCTTGAGTGAGCAGAGGTGGTGGGCTTGAAAATGGTGCGGCGGGCGGATTCGACGAAGGAGCGTCCGGCGAGCTTGCGGCAACCACATGTGACGAGCCCGGGTTGGACTCCGCTTCGTCCACGGTGAAAGCCGATCCGGCGATCCACAGCGCGAAGTTGATGTATTTCCTCAGCGACCAGCACGGATCAGCTCCAGGCATGACGAAGCGGATATCGTCCTCTTTTGGAAGCCCAAATAAAGTAGTTTCGCTTTCACAACGAATCACACAGTGCCTTCACGACATGGTGGCGGCGGCAACAACAATACTACAGCGAGAATAAAAGTTACGCCTTCTTTCTTTGCGTGAACATTTGGGCGGCGTTATGCAAATCTTCCCACATTGTGACATAGATATGTGGGGGCGTGTTAGAACGAGTCGTTTTAGGTAGGCGTGGCTGACTCTTAACTTTTATAAAGAATATCTCTTTGGATTTGAGACTTTAGTCTTTGCAACTTTGAAACAGATCTTCTTTATGCACCAAGAGCTTGTAACACTCCAAAGAGAAAGGACAAATTTAAATCGCATCATATGGCCCCTTTAAAATATATTAAAATAGAAAATGATTTTAAATTGTAATAATATTTCACAATGTTTTTTCTGTTTTAATTTATTTTTGTTCAAGTAAGCAGCTTTGATAAGGCATACGAAACTTCTTTCAAAAACATTAAACATTTATCTTACTGACCCCAAACGTTTAGTGTATTCCTCTCCACTATATTCCTTCCTAGTCCTCTAAGGCCTTATGCAACAAATAGACTGAAAAGTCGTTGCTTTCCACCGTAAGCTTTAAAATGTAATATGCTGCCTTTTCACGCATCATGTCAATATAGTAACCGAGGGGAAGATTTTCAGTGAATAGAAACTTAAGCTAATTAAAGCTAAGTTTGTTTGTCACACATAGCTACCACATGACTTCAGAAATCTGCTTTAATGGGTTTTAAACCTTTTTGGAGCGACAAATATAAAAAGGAGCAGTGCAAATTCTTTTTTGTGTGTTTCTCAAAAAGTAGCAACATATGGTTTGAAAAAACACGAGGGGGAGTAAATCATTTTTATTTGCGGTTGAACTATTCTTTTGAATGAACACAGTAAAACTGCTGAAAAAAGAAGTGTGGTGGAGGTTGAAGCTCAAAGTAATGTGTTTTCAGACTGTCCAGCCACATAAAGGCTTCTTTACATTTGGAAGAGGATACTAATGGTACCATCATTATCATGCAGAGTACCACGTGTTTCTAATAGTTTCATGGTTATCCTTGTCTATTGAAAATAGAAAAACATGATTGTGCATGAGAATAATGCAACACCACAAAGGCCGCTCTGTGTATTTAGAGCGAGAAAAGAACCGAGTTTCTCAAGTGAAAGAAGCAGGAGTTTTAATTGGATTTGAGCATAATACAGTCTGACCCTCCTAAACAATTAAACACACCAGGTTGTATCTGTTTTCATCCATCATATGAGGCATGAGCATTGCAGCAAATACAAAAGTTACAGAAACTATGATTTAATAGTATGATGTGGGTGCGCAATAGTATGATGTTGAAGGTAAAACAGAAACTGCTATATCTTACCTCAAGGTCATTAAGTGAATGAGCCAGACTGAGTCGTTTAGTGGGACCTGATGTTCTTCGTACAGAGGAACGTCCCCTTGTGAGTGCCCAAAATAAAGACCCCTGAGAAGACAAACATTAACCAGAGTTTACAGTTACAATTTCATAAGAGTGACTGGCATAGCAAAGGTGTGTCTTATAAATACAGTGGCATTTCTATATATATATATAAAAAAAACTAATTTCATTCCAGGTCACACTATATAATTGTCGAATTAAAAAATAATTACTATATAATTTACAATTGGCTACCATGCTCTTTTTTCAGTTATGTTACTCCTAATTTAAAATTAATTTGTATTTCAATTTCAAAGGAACATAAAACAAAAAAAGTTACCATTGACCATAATATTAATTAATTATTAATATTTTCGATACATTATCTTATTGATTGTAAACAGGAAATCAGGGTGACTGCATTTAAAATGGAAAATTGCTTTTTTTTAATTCTTTTATTTGTTTATGTACTTTCACAAAATTAATTTTACACATAATCGTTGATATATAAACTGCAACAGTGTTAAAGTGTTATTATCTACATTATTAAATAAAACCTTTGATTTTATTTATTTAATTTTATTTATTAATTTTAGATACGGTTGGCATTTAAAAAATACTTTCCAATACATAATTGATTTAGGCTTCAAAATTAAATCCGAAGGGCAAGACATGTCAGAGGGAGACAGATGCCTAGCAATAAATCATCAGTGAAAGGAAGGAAATAATAATATTCTTCTGTTCCCTTACATGGCTGACAAATTGTTGCTAGGTGACTCTCGACATTGTTAATAGAGCTAAAGCTGATCCATCCAGTGTAATCATATTGAACTGCACTAATCAACCCAATAGCTCCATCTGCTGTGCCTGTTACTTGCAGCACCATCTGTTCCTTGGCTTATTGTATTAAGCCCTTTAACTTAGCATGGTGGCAAACTGGCAAAAAACCTGCCATAAGACTGACCACAGGGCAGACAGCAAAGACAAAGCAAAGATTGTCTCATTTGATTCATAAAACAATAGTGGGATAAGCTGTAAAATAGCCCATAGTAATATTTTAGTGTAAATTATTTTGTTTTAAGCATCACTATTATTATTACTCATACATAAGGTTAATTACATTATTTTGCTAACCACCCAAAACACCTTAGCAACTGCATAGTTGAATGTAGACCAAGGTTTTATAGTGTAGTATAAGAACAGATTCAGATACCAAGTCATCAGAGATTTGTTTTATTCTGACCTTATTTTCCCCATCCTTATGCTTGGCTGCACTACTGAAGAACCTGGAGGTCAGCTCAAGCTGTGGAGTGAAGTTCATTCTCTGAGGATGTTTGAGATCTTCTAGTGGTTTGTATCGGATAGTCGGTATTTGTTTCATAGCGGGAGGAAGGATGCTACTTTTACTTGTGGGCCCATCGCTGTCCCTTTCAACCAAGCATTCAATGCTGTTGGGACGAGACTTCTGCCAGCGAGCCTTTAAGCCAATGGAAGGTCTGCGTTGACTGGTTCTCGGTTTAGGTCGCAAGTTAGATTGCATACTAAGACAAAGAGGAGTAAAAGCTGAACTGTCTGCCTTGCCTGAGACACCTCGGCACTCGGGTTTGTTTCTGTGCTGTGAATAATATGGTGGTGGGTTGGAAATGTTTGGAGGCGTGAAGCTCCACTGGCCATTGAGACTGTCTCTATCGATTGAGTCACAGGTTGAGCAGCTCCTGCTAGCGGATCGGACAGAAGGCACCTGCACTCGGGTTTGTTTCTGTGCTGTGAATAATATGGTGGTGGGTTGGAAATGTTTGGAGGCGTGAAGCTCCACTGGCCATTGAGACTGTCTCTATCCTCCGGCGAAGCATTTCCGATCCCGCTGTCACTGCCACTGCCATTGTTACGTGCGTTTTGTGGTTCTTCTTCAGGATTCTCGCTGTCAAGTTTCAGTCTCAGTTTTTCAATATAGTCCCCCATGTCAGAATAGAGGACGGACACAAAGTGAGAAATCGAGTGTGGAGTTTGAGGAAACTCCAAACAGCCTTGAGTGTCTGGATCTGGAGTGCAGGGAATCCCAAAGTGCCCTATGATGCTTTGGTGCTCCTTGTGTTCATAAAGCTCCGGATCTATGAAAAACACATGACATAATGTCTTCAGGGTGCTTGTCTGCATCCCAGCATGAATATTTTTGGTCGTATCAACCGAGACAAGGCCAAAGAACCTGCTGTCCTCCGAGCAAATGATACAAAGCGCCAGGTTCTCCGCTGGGTAAGATGCTAGAACAACATCTCGGTCATCGCAAAGCTGAACGCAGTTGCATTTGACCCTCATCATGACCAGCGAATGGGTCTTCTGCTCAATGCCAATCTGACTAATGCATTCACGGATGACTTGCAATGCCTCCTCCTCAGATTGTGACATTACTAGCTCCAGTTCCATGGAGTTGATGTATCCCACAATCATCGCAAAGTTCAGGATGCTGGAGTCAGATACAAAGTCATTCTGACTCTGAAGGTCTGAAAACACAGAATCCTCACTTACGACTCGAGACGTGTCATCCTGTGAAAGACTATTTGACCTACGCTGCTGCAACCAATAAGACATATCTGGTTCAGACAAAGGTCTTTGTTTTTCCTGGTTATCTTGATGGGCGCTCATGGTGCCCTGATCAGAGATCTCAAAGACAGTATCAAAACTTCCAACCGACTGAAGCATCGGCTCCCTCATGTCCATACTGTTGGGGAAAGGATCCTTTTTTCCAGGATTGAGCCACGGCAGTTTGCTCTTACTCTGACAACCCAGTTCCTCGTCACTGGAGCAGGAGGCCATGGGTGGCCTGTCACCTGATGTGACCAGCAAACACAGTGATTGTGATGACATACCAATCAGCTTCACCACAATTTCATGCGGTGCATCGGACACGTCTGTATCGTTCACACGCAAGATGCGGTCCTCAGGCCGCAGTCCGACACTGTACGCTGGACTCCCTTTTATTATTCCCCGCAGGACACAAGGTGCTTGGCCAGCAATGGTGAACCCGTAGCCAGCTCTGCCACGCTCCATCTCCACCCTGCGCACTGCCGGGCTGGGGGGACGATCCGAATGCCTCATAGTCGACTCAGCTGGCTTCAGAACTCGCATTTTGGTGCTGGAACTCACAATAGTAGTACTTTGTACTGGTATAGTAGTTTCGTTCAGATACAGTTCCAACCATGAACAATCATCTTGCTGCACTGCTACAGATCAGACCTGAGGGGAGTAAAATGACTAAGGTTAGAATATGACACTTTTTTCATTTGTTTAAATAGTTATTAAGAAGGCAAATATATGTCAAGTCAAGTGAACTTTATTTCTATAGCGTTTAATACAACAGACATCGTGTCGAAGCAGCTTCACAGAGATAAACAGAAAAGCAGCTCAATTATAATATGTAAGATGAATACAGAGATATAAACCTTGACCACACACACAAAAACATACCACATTTTAAAGCAGTGGCCTGCAGGGAGACTATTTTTCCACCCCACCCGTATTTTATTATTTGTAGCACAAACTTGAAGAGTTCTGAATGAATCACTCTGATGAAAAAGCTTTGACCATTCTGATCATCTTTTAAAAACTACAAGGACATTTATATAAAATGTATTACATTTTATTTTATTTTATACACAGTTAAATTATTTGAAACAATTATAAACAACTACAAACTAACAATTTCTTCATTTTATTTCACGCAGTGTTCTGAACTCATATACCTATATATATAAACCTTTATATATATATATATAGTATATATAGTAGGTTACAATTATAAAGTGCTTAATAATGAATTCATAAATCAACACTTAAGTAAGTATAAGTGTAAGTAAGTTGTTGTTTTCTAGCATGTGTGTTTGGCAGTGCTATTTTTTAGGATTACTGATAAACTACTGTCATTTGATTTGTATTACTTGTAATTGTTATTTATTTTAATTTTACTTACATTATGTCTGAATTTATTATGTCTGTATAGGTGTTTTATTAAGTTTTTAGTTTAATTTAATTTGAGTTATTTTAATACCTCAACAAACTAAATGGAAATGAAATAATATATATATTGCATTTATAAATGGGTGTGTACATATACAGTATATCTGTATGTGTGTGTGGTTGCACATACACATATGTAGTTGTTTTTATTGGTGTTTGGCTTAGTGTTAGAATCATTATTATACTCTTATACCTTTTGTTCTTTAATATTTTGAATTGTTTTTAGCTTTATTCTTTTGGTTTTCATTTAAATGTTAAGTTTTGAAATGTTGTTGTATGCATTTGTCATTTTTATTTAATCTCTTTATTTTTAAAATGTGTATAGGTAGTATTTATGAAGTTTCAGCTTTTAGTTTTGGATCTGTTTTTAGTTGTTTTAATACTACAACTGATTGCTTCTGTTGTCCTCATTTGTAAGTCGCTTTGGATAAAAGCGTCTAATAAATGACTAAATAAATAAAAATATAAAACACACACACACACACACACACACATATGTATGGGATGTTTATTTATCATCATTTACAAATAATATATAACATATTTTATTATATAAACAATATTAAATAAAACATGATATTTTATAAACATCTCTACGAATTGTATTTTATATTTTAAAAAATTCACAACGCAGAACTAAGTCGCAAAACTTCAAAAAGGTTACTCAAATTGTGAAATAAGGATAAATTAAACTGTTTTTAATCGCATTTCTAGACAAAATGATAAACGTGAATGGTGTTTTTGAAAAAGATACAAAACTATCCGTTTGCTTTGAGAGCTCTCGTGTCACATGCCACTTTTCATTCGCAGTAGCGTTATACGTAAACAAACTCTATTCTTTCACATAAAGTCCACGTTTTTATTAACAACACATGTATACATCGGCGCTTACCTGCACTCTTTTTAATTCCAAAGTTTTTCTTCGTTTATTTCGGAACTCCCTTCGCGCGACGGACTTGAACCACTGCCATTCACTATTGTTGGGAATACAAAGCATCATTCTCTTGTCGCTATGGCACCGACGTTTGCAAACTGATATCAGCTTTCTCATTGGTCGACAGACGTGTCAATCATGTTCAATATTCAAATAAATACGGCGCTCTCATTGGCGGATGGAACAGCATTACTACATGTAAGCTATGGCAAGATTACAAACGGCTTCTTAAAGTTGCATTCAGACGGTGTTATCTTTCTTAAAATACAGTAAGTTGAGATATATATATATATATAAGTTTAAAATACAAGTTTACAGTTTCAGTGCATTTTTTTTAAATGTTGGTTTCTATTCATGGCTCCACACCCAGGTCACTGAGCACTAAGGTGTTTCTTCTTATCAACTAATACCTTTCATGAAGCCCTGACGGGCCATTTCATCACAGACAAAGAAGAGAGGTGATGAAATTCATATTTGTACACCGTTTGTTGCTATTAATGACCATGTGCACAATGTAAGGCACAGCAGAAAGGGTTAACTATCTTGCCTGCACATTAAGAAGAATTAAAGAGCATGTGGTGGTGCATTAGCCATTATAATGTTTGGGTGCAAGTCAGGTTCAATCTATCTGGCAACTTTTGGGAGTCTTTAAGGTGAAGTGACAAATAAGGATAGTCTGAGATAATAAAAAGGAGATTAGAAAAAAATCTAGTTTTAAACACACATGCCAAGTTCTTAAAAATGTACTCTTTCTTTATGTAAAAATATTGCAGAAATAGGCTAGTAGGTAGCATGCCGTACTATTTTGAGTTCAGTCACTGATTTTAATTTGACAGATAATTGATTCCAATATATATATATATATATATATTTATTGTTTGTTTTCCCCCCCTCAAGAATTCTCTTTTACAATCTTTGGACAGTTGGACCACCTAGACATTTTTGACACCTCACAAAAATATCAAAATGACGTTTAATTCAGAAATTCATAAATGGGTGTATTATACTCATTTTAATGCGAATAGCATTTTTTCCCCCTATTTTTGTATATTTTAAGATCTAAGCTAAATATGAGTGTCAGCATATAAACTGCTACTAAAACAACTGCATTTTGTAACCTGTTACATTTTGCTAAATTGTGCTATGCTATAACACTGTAACGCTGAACTGTAATGCTACTAACTAAACTAAGATTGTCCTCTTTCATTTCAAATCGTCAGCCTAATTCAGTTTACATTATCACCAACCATTTGGTGTTATCTGTCTGACCTGAACTTCTGACCTTCTGGAGTTTTCTTGAACATGGTATCCTTTTAAAGAATGCCTTAAAATAAATCTGAAATCTTTTAGATGCCAGTCAACCATGATTGACATTACATTGTCTAAATAATGAGCCAGGAATTAGCAACTAACACAGCAATTAGAAATCAAATGAATCAGATTTCATAAACAACACATTTTGTGTCACATAACAATCACCATTTAACTTTTGAGAACTGCATTTTGCTTCAGATTTGGATAAATAGTGATTTCTTCAGAAGTTTCTTGCTTAGGATACATCTTGTCAACATTTTTGAATAATATATGTATAGTAGAAGACTGAACAGAGCCTAAATAGGTCTAAAATGTACAGCTAACTAGTTGGTTATAGCTTTTATACTTAGATAGCATATAGCAACACTTCCTTAGCAAAGACAAAAAAAGGTCCATATCCCGAGGTCACTGTCACTCAGTTGTAGGTGTTCCTAAACCCTTTGAGGCCGGTGGGTTAGGCCAAGAAGAGGCAGACGGAGCAGGAATCATCTTCTCCAGGAGGTTCATCATTCGTTCCTGAAGCTGGAGGCTCTGCACCTGCAGGAAGTTCTGCTGATGCATAACGCGGCGAACTTCATGACATGCCTCCTCAACGGCGCGGCTTATCCTGCGTTGCTCCTGCAGCATTGCGTCCAGGACACGCAGCTTCTTTCGGCGCAGTGACACATGTGAAAGCTTCCGCCTCTTATGTGGCTGTGACCTGCAGATGGACAGCCATGCATTTATAATTGCACAATTATGAATCTGAAACGGATCTGTGATCAGATCGAACATGTTACCTGGTCTCAAAAGAACTCTCTGAGTTCTCGGTTAGGCCTTCCTCCTCATCGTTGATTTCTCTCTCCTCTGAGGAACCAGTGTACTCGGGTAGAAACCCACTTGGTGGAGCTGACTGGGGCACAGAAGTCTCAAGCTGAGAAGTGGAGGGGCCAGATGTCGAGAGGTTTGGTGGGCTCATATGGGCATGGTCTGGTATCTTTGACAAGATCCTCTCAATAGATTTGTAGTACGGCCAGTCAGGTGTAGCATTGCTTCCATTTGCTGTGTACTTCAGCTTCCTGTTAAAAAAGATACTGTTACTTCATATTGTCTCATATTGTTGTAGTGTAAAAATTAGCTTAAACCCTGTAAGTCCCACTGTTGTAATATTACAACATCAGTTTTAGCTTGACTAAAATAAAGCTGCTCATGGTTTTTTTCTCTCTCTCCCTAAGACCACATTTACACAACTAATAGATCCTATTGGTTAGCCTTGCAATGCTATTGGATGCTAGATATTAAAAAATAGGCCTGTTTACCTGGCCATAAACTCACACAACCTGCAAACTTCCCATGAAACACATCGTCTTGTTTTACTGGACTGGATAAATCTACATTTATCTGGTGGTGGTTGAGGAGATTCCCCCTTTCTATGTAAAGTGCTTTGAGTGCCCAGAAAAGGAAGGAATTATTACATTCAAGTGAGTAAAATGCCTATTTTTTCTGTGATTAGTAATGTCTAGATCGTGTAGATATTAAGGTATTGTTGAATGCATTAATCATTTTAGATTTTGAGCTTGTTATGTCAGTGTTGTAATTTTACAACACTGGGTTAAATGGGTAGCAAAATTTGCCTGTGCACCTTACACATTACATGGATGAATTGTGCTTCTCACCTGTTCCATGTGAAAAAAATAATACTAGAAACATACTGTTTTTGATCATTCACAAGTTTTAAATGTATTTTTTGTTACCAAGTTGAAGAATAAATTATTTCTCAGAAAATTTTAAAGTATTTTTGAAGCAATATTTTAAACTATTTGTATCTTATCATTTATAAAATGTCCTGTCGTTTTTTCTAGACGTTGCTTGTTTGCCCTAATATCTGCTTGCTGTATGAGGGACAGGTGATAATGTTCTGGAATGTGGGAGGTATCGGTGCTATTAGCATGATAACTAAAGGACACAATAAGCTATCAGACAGTATTGTGTGAATTCTGTGGAATGTGTGAATTCTGTGAATGGGTGAATTCTTTAAAAGGTGTAAGTATATTGGGGTTAATTTGCACTGATATTTTTAGCCTGGAAATAATCAGTTTTTTTTTTTTCCATTTTAGAATGTCACCAGCCAAGAAAGACTGTCTCATCATATGTGTGATATCACTGTTACCATGCAAAATTGGAAAAGTGACATTGAGATGGACTCTGATACAAGAGAATAAAGTTTTAATGTTAAGTCATGATGAATGTTTTAAAGCTTTCATTCAGTTCATCAGGTTCCCTTTCAAGGGAACTTCGAACTGCGTCCTCTAGGGGTCGCTATGGGGAACGCCTCGTCGTGACCCGTGTCTGAAGCATACATTCAAAAAACACCAACAAACATGTTGACTGGCGACAGCCCATGACGTCACTACCGGTGCGACTATAGTATAAATAGGCACCAGTAGAACACGTCATTCTCTTCTTCGTCTTCATTGATTGTTTTGTTTGAAGCGTGCATTCCGTGGTTAGAGCGATCTTCCTTCATTATGGTGAGCACTAGCAAGACGTTTAGAATATGTGTGCATCTGTGTCGTCGTTATTTGACTCCTGAAGACACACATGATCTTTGCGTCTTTTGTTTGGGCGAAGAGCACGCACGCACGCAATGTCCTCGAGGGGGCAATCTGCGTTAACTCTGAGCATTTTTCCGCTCCGCTCTCGTTTGTCTCTCTTTTCAAGGAGAGAGGGGCAGCCGTCTGCTCCCCGCGGGTTCAGGGCCCGCCGCTGCTGAGGCACGGAGGAGAATGAGCTCGTGGGGATCGCAGGGTGGATATGGCAGATGAGTTTAAAGAGGGGCTTTCCCTCTCGCGCTCGTCGGCTGTGGACGAGAGTGAGCCGCTGGAGGCTGATGTTATTTCCCTAACATCGTCTGATCCAGGGGCCAGTGCTCTGCTGGGTTCGGCCCAGGAAGAGCAGGAGATGTCTGAGGAGGGCGAAGAGGCTGAGGCTGAGCCCTCCCAATCCTCCTGCCCTGTGTATGATGAGCTATTGGAGGTTATGGATCGTGCCACGGCGAGGCTTGACTTGTCGTGGAACCGGGACAAGAAAGTGACGTTGCGAGGTTGTCTCGATGAGCGTTATCTTTCTGACCATAGCCCTCCAGCTCAGGTGAGCCTTCCTTTTCTTCCTGATCTCCATACTGAGATCGAGAAGGAATGGAAGAGGCCATTTTCCTCACGCATCCATCGGTTCCAGCATACAAGTTATGCCAACATCGAGGGGATGCGCGAAAGCGGCTATGAGAAGATGCCCCCTGTAGAAGAGACGCTGGCTTGCTATCTCTCTATGGGTGAGACATCCTCTCTTAAGACTCCCTCCTTACCATCTAAGCCCCTTCAGGATACATCTCGCTTGAATGGCAGGGCATACGCAGCAGCAGGTCAGGCTGTCGCTTCGTTGCACACGATGGCAGTGCTTCAGGTGTATCAGGTTGATCTACTGAAAGACCTGGATAAAGGCAAGGGCCTTTCTCCTGATGAGGTAGCTGAGTTGCGCCGCACCACAGATCTCGCTCTCCGTGCTACTAAGCAGGCCGCCTCTGCTATGGGCAGGTCCTATGGTGGTAACGGAGAGACATCTGTGGGTGAACCTGGCAGATATTGGGAAGAAAGAGAGGGGCTTTCTTCTCGATGCTCTGGTTTCGCCTTCCGAACTTTTCGGTACCTCCGTTGAGATGGTGGTTGAAAAGTTCAA